CTGGCTTCTTTTTCTCTTTTTCCTTTTCTTTCTCCTTCTTTTCTTCTTTCTCCGGAACCTTGCCATCTTTTCCTCTAGCTGCATTGGCAACCCACATATTGATGACACCCTCGGTTTTCTTGAGAATACTAGTAGCTTGGTCATAGTCAATACCAACCATTTCCTCCTTGTTGACACACAAAATCATGTCTCCTACTAGCAGTCCAGCCTGAAAAGTACAAGATAGATGTATCGACAGTTAATACAATTAAAATAAATTACAAACTTTACAGGTCTTGTGTGTTTTAATATACTTTCAAATTAATTTCAGGCACAAGAATATTAAACAAACACTTGATTTGAGTCAAGATTGGCTCAAAGGGTACACATGGGTACCTTGTGTCGGGTGTCTATGACTTGAGGATTGCACAAGCAGTTCAGAAATTGTATATCTTGAGAGGGGGGGGGGAGGGTTTGGGAGTTCTACTTCCCGAGCCCGGCCTGGGGCCAGGTTCGAGAGTGTGTGTGTGGTGATATAGAACATCTGGTTAGACCTGAATTTGGCAGTTTACACAATGCACCTGTATAATTATGGGTTGTTTCCACAGCCAAAAGTTGTTTTGTTAAGTGTAGCAGGTAGCGAGAGAGGTTACGGCTGACCTGACCTTGCCAACTGTCTTGATAACCCTTTCTTCCCTCTCTCCAGTTACCTCACTGTAGCCAAGAGTTCACATAATCAGATGCATGTGTATGGTTGAAACTGCATTCTGATTGGTGCTTTGTTGGATGGCTTTAACTTCAGTGAAGTGAGGTGTGAGCTCGACTGACTAGCTCTTAACTCTCTCCTTGGTCATACTTGGAGAAGTTGTGAGTTGAACAGGATGTGTGAGCATCCTTGAGCGCCTGAGCACCGTCACTCTCGATAGCTACAAGTGCAAACTCCAGATGCATCCCATGCGAGATGACCTGTGGTGATAAAGATGACTTGCCTTGTCATCAACGGCTGAGAAGAAGCATGCGCAAGAATGTCTGGCGAGAGTAAATACTAGTACTTTGTAATCGTTTGCATATGTTATTGACACATTTTTGTGCCGCTAAGTGCTAACCAAGCGAGTTTGGCGAGTGTTCCTGACTGCTTGGCCATTCATAGGGATTCATAACCCACTGCGTGCCGGTTGTTGACCGTGCTGGTGCTTGTAAATATATTTACAACACATGCCAGTCTTTATGTGTATGCAATTAATTTCACTCTGAGCTCCAAATTGTTTCTTTGCATAAGGCAGTGGTGTTAGGCAATTGTTATTGTTTGAGGTGGTCCTATTAACAGTGGTAACCTTAGATGTAAGTTGGCAATATGAGGGAGAAAGGGTTTCCTGAAATACCATGTGCTTAACACCTAGTGTATTATACATGAAACGAAAATGTATTTACACAGGGGAAATGGGGGATAATTGTTTCTATTTAGGGTGTCATAGACAAATCTATACAATTCTATGCACAGCATCGTCTCTTGACGTCACCTACGTGTCACTGTCAAGAAACGATACACTGCATAGATTTGCCTACGATACCTCCTAAAGTAGAGACAATTATTCCCATTTCCGTGTGTAAATACATTTTCGTTTCACGTTAAATAAATTACGTGTTACAGCACACGGTGTTTCTGGAAATCCTGAAGTGACTGACAAGTCAGTCAGTCACTATTTCACTATAATTAACAATAATGTTCAAGTATGTTTATTGAGATAAGAAAAATACATCTCAAAGGGATAGAGTAGCTTAGGCTATTTCTACGTTAAGTGGACATTTGCAGCAGTTTACGACTCGAATTTACATGCTATTATTTGAGTGATACAAAACATTTATAATAATACTATCAATGTGTTATTTCCAAATATAAATAATACTATCTAGCTGTGTGCTTTCGTGTATTTCATTATTATTCCCTATAAATATAATATAATTTGGTATAATATTTTAGATTTACAGTGAAATGAGTTAAGTCAAGCTTGAATTTATATAGTGAAATGGGTCAAGTAAAGCTTGAATGTATATAGTGAAATGGGTCAAGTAAAGCTTGAATGTATATAGTGAAATGGGTCAAGTAAAGCTTGAATGTATATAGTGAAATGGGTTAAGTAAAGTTTGAAGGTAAGAGGAAGAAAATGATCAGGGAAAGTACCAAGCCATTATGACTATATAGCACTGGAAAGGGGTCAGGATAAGGATTTGGGATGAGACGTGGAAAAGGAATGGTGCCGAACCACTTGGACGGTCGAGGATTGAACGCCGACCTGCAGGAAGGAAAACCGTCACCCCTACCGTCCAGCCCAAGTGGTTGGGAAGCAGTCAAGTAGTTTAATCAACACCTCAATTAATAATATTATTCCTCTTATTTGTACATGTTGCAAGTAGGAATGAATATGGAAGACATTACTTACCTCAGCGGCCACTGATCCTTCTTGCAAGTCAGAGATGAAGATCCCGTTGCCGTACTCCGCGTGTTTACCCTCGATGATCATAATGCCTAGTCCGGTCTGGCCCTGTAAAGGAGAGCACCACCATGTTAGTTCAACTTCTGCCACCACCCACTTGCTGCTCTCTGCCCACCACCCACTTGCTGCTCTCTGCCCACCACCCACTTGCTGCTCTCTGCCCACCACCCACTTGCCGCCCTCTGCCCACCACCCACTTGCCGCCCTCTGCCCACCACCCACTTGCCGCCCTCTGCCCACCACCCACTTGCCGCCCTCTGCCCACCACCCACTTGCCGCCCTCTGCCCACCACCCACTTGCCGCCGTCTGCCCACCACCCACTTGCCGCCCTCTGCCCACCACCCACTTGCCGCCCTCTGCCCACCACCCACTTGCCGCCCTCTGCCCACCACCCACTTGCCGCCCTCTGCCCACCACCCACTTGCCGCCCTCTGCCCACCACCCACTTGCCGCCCTCTGCCCACCACCCACTTGCCGCCCTCTGCCCACCACCCACTTGCCGCCCTCTGCCCACCACCCACTTGCCGCCCTCTGCCCACCACCCACTTGCCGCCCTCTGCCCACCACCCACTTGCCGCCCTCTGCCCACCACCCACTTGCCGCCGTCTGCCCACCACCCACTTGCCGCCGTCTGCCCACCACCCACTTGCCGCCGTCTGCCCACCACCCACTTGCTGCCGTCTGCCCACCACCCACTTGCTGCTCTCTGCCCACCACCCACTTGCTGCTCTCTGACCACCACCCACTTGCTGCTCTCTGACCACCACCCACTTGCTGCTCTCTGCCCACCACCCACTTGCTGCTCTCTGCCCACCACCCACTTGCTGCTCTCTGCCCACCACCCACTTGCTGCTCTCTGACCACCACCCACTTGCTGCTCTCTGACCACCACCCACTTGCTGCTCTCTGCCCACCACCCACTTGCCGCTGTCATGGCAAGCGGCAAGTGGGTGGTGGCAGGCAAACACGACACTTATTTCATACATACTTTTGTTTATAAGATGAAACTTAAACGTTAGTATGTATTATAAATTCTGACGAGAATTGCAATCTAATGGAGAAAAAGCCTAATGCTGAACACACAGACAAGCAAACATTTGCAATGCTTAACAAGATCCATTTTCCTTAATAACACACAAATACATGTATTATGCAGAGAAAAAATGGTTCTTGTAATGATCTACGCACACCGAAGCACCAGCACCGGATAGCATGCTTGTCTATCTTCCTATGCTAACCCCGCCCTATGTCAACTCATCGGTACAATCAAGCTCAATAGGCTCCCCCCCTCCCCTTTCCCTTCATTGTTTACAACGAGAGGTCCAGGAGGGAGTGTGAGGGTAGAGTATTATTATTATTATTATTAGTGTGTGTGTGTGTGTGTGTGTGTGTGTGTGTGTGTGTGTGTGTGTGTGTGTGTGTGTGTGTGTGTGTGTGTGTGAGAGAGAGCATTAACGATGTGAGCAGAGTAAACACGCGGAATATTGATGTGATGTAGGGCCTTCATGAATGGAGGTAATGTTTATATACGTGGGGCTTATTTCCGCGAACTGTGGCACGCCATAAGGAACAATACACACACACACACACACACACACACACACACACACACACACACACACACATCACACATTAATAATAAACTCTCAAGTAGACAAAGACACAGTGAATAATTTACAAACTTGAAAGCTCTTAAACTGGAAAACAACTTGATTAAGTCACAGTCAGATTAAGCCACCATGATGTGAAACACAGTGACACCACACACACACAATGATGTGAAACACAGTGACACCACACACACCATGATGTGAAACACAGTGACACTACACACCATGATGTGAAACAGTGACACACTACACACCATGATGTGAAACAGTGACACACTACACACCATGATGTGAAACAGTGACACACTACACACCATGATGTGAAACAGTGACACACTACACACCATGATGTGAAACAGTGACACACTACACACCATGATGTGAAACAGTGACACACTACACACCATGATGTGAAACAGTGACACACTACACACCATGATGTGAAACACAGTGACACACTACACACCATGATGTGAAACACAGTGACACACTACACACCATGATGTGAAACACAGTGACACCACACACCATGATGTGAAACACAGTGACACCACACACCATGATGTGAAACACAGTGACACTACACACCATGATGTGAAACAGTGACACACTACACACCATGATGTGAAACAGTGACACACTACACACCATGATGTGAAACAGTGACACCACACACACACCATGATGTGAAACACAGTGACACCACACACACCATGATGTGAAACACAGTGACACCACACACACCATGATGTGAAACAGTGACACACTACACACCATGATGTGAAACACAGTGACACACCACACACCATGATGTGAAACACAGTGACACACACACACACCATGATGTGAAACACAGTGACACCACACACACACCATGATGTGAAACACAGTGACACCACACACACCATGATGTGAAACACAGTGACACCACACACACCATGATGTGAAACACCAGAGTGTTGTGCCTTGCTCGGAGTGAACTGCAAGGGTTAATAATGACTGAGAAAATTGCCATAGCAATGTGTGATGATTAAAAGGAGGAAGTCAGTGGGGGTGGAGGCCTGGTCGAGGACCGGGCCGCGGGGACACTAAAGCCCCGAAATCATCTCAAGATAACCTCAAGATAACCTTCTTCGCCGTTCTTGAGTTAGGGTGCGACTCTCAAGTTATTCAGTGATTTGTTTTTTTCGCCTATAGAGTGAACGACGTTCACGTTCCCCTAAGTACAACTAATTCGAAAACAAGAAAAATCAACGTAACTCGTCAAATGCTAATCAACAAGCATTAATCTAAAGGGCTAATTAAATGTTAATCAACAAACACTAATCAACAAATGCATATAATCCCAGAAAATCAAAACAAAAATCCCAGCAAATCAACCATCAAATCAGCACAAGCATGAATCATTTCTGCAAACCATTCCTGCAAATCATCCCTGCAAATCATCCCTGCAAACCATTCCTAAAAATCATCCCTGCAAATCATCCCTGCAAACCATTCCTAAAAATCATCCCTGCAAATCATCCCTGCAAATCATCCCTGCAAACCATTCCTAAAAATCATCCCTGCAAATCATCCCTGCAAACCATTCCTAAAAATCATCCCTGCAAACCATTCCTACAAATTAACCCTGCAAATCATCCCTGCAAACCATCCCTGCAAACCATCCCTGCAAACCAACCCTGCAAACCAACCCTGCAAATCATCCCTGCAAATCATCCCTGCAAACCATCCCTGCAAACCATTCCTAAAAATCATCCCTGCAAACCATTCCTACAAATTAACCCTGCAAATCATCCCTGCAAATCATCCCTGCAAACCATCCCTGCAAACCATCCCTGCAAACCATCCCTGCAAACCATCCCTGCAAACCAACCCTGCAAATCATCACTGCAAACGCAGTAAAACAATGCCACAAACCAATTCACCAGACGTGCAGCATATTCCCACACAGCCAACATACAACATTTACAAATACGGAGCCTAAAATATTCGAATTTCAACTCAAAATCTCTAATTAAACCGAACACAAAACAATTCAGCAGTTAACCAATGGCGCGCTTCGGAGGCATGCATTGTGTAAAAAAAAAAAAAAAAAGTTCTCGTAATCCATCCGATTATTTTTGTGGCTGCCGCAATATTTGCTTGGTTATGCTCCCTAAACGTTAGGTCGTCAGACATTATTATTCCCAAATCTTTTACATGTTGCTCTCCGACTATGGGCACATTTGACTGTGTTTTGTACCCTGTATTATGTTTAATGTTCTCATTTTTACCGTACCTGAGTAACTGGAATTTATCACTGTTCAACATCATGTTATTTTCTGCTGCCCATGAAGTTATGTTCTGCTGGCTATTACGTTATTTTCTGATGCCCATGACGTTACGCAGTTACCTAAGTGCCTCGATGACGTCCACATTTGGGACCTAAACGCTATAAATGCTTCACCCACGTACTACAAATGCAAATAATTGCCACCAGAAGCTAAACACCTAACATATGCTTAACTAACGTTTGCTCCCTCTTTCGACAGGCCCAAATTAACACGATAGGCCAAAATTAAGGGTGGTACACAAGGATTACAAACTCCTAAAAGCAGTAGCCATGTAGGTGTTAAGCCTCACTCTGAAAGATGACCAATGGGACCATGCAATGCTCCCAGTTGAACTCTATGGTATGTATGGGCAGACGCACAGACAGCATTGCCGGCATTCTTATCCTCGACCCACTGCTACGAGGGAATTAGTGAGAGAAATCCTACCAGAATACCGAAGAGAATTGAGAGTCTCTTAGGGATGGGATGGCAGCATTTGGCTCGAGGAGAACATTGCCTCAGCAGTGCTGGAGGCAGCTTTTGTGGAGGACAAAGTACGTCTTGTTGCTGTGCAAGCCCCTCATGCTGGGGACTTTCTGCTGGCTATCCCTAATTTTTCCTTGAGCACCTGTCTGGACCATTAAGCCCATTGGTGGTCCTCCCGTTTACAGATTTTGCCAGTTTACATACCCCCCCCCATTAATCCCCACGTCCCACCAGTTAATACACCCATTTAATCCCCACGTCCCACCATTTAAGACATCCATTTAATCCCCACGTCCCACCAGTTAAGACACCCATTTAATCCCCACGTCACACCAGTTAAGGCACCCATTTAATCCCCACGTCCCACCAGTTAAGACGCCCATTTAATCCCCACGTCACACCAGTTAAGGCACCCATTAATCCCCACGTCCCACCAGTTAAGGCACTCATTTCATCCCCACGTCCCACCAGTTAAGACACCCATTTAATCCCCACGACCCACCAGTTAAGACACCCATTTAATCCCCACGTCCCACCAGTTAAGACACCCATTTAATCCCCACGTCCCACCAGTTAAGACACCCATTTAATCCCCACGTCCCACCAGTTAAGACACCCATTTAATCCCCACGTCCC